CCTGGCCTCCACAGTCACCTGACCTGAACCCAGTGGAGCTGGTTTGGGATGAGATGGAGCGCAGAGTGAGGGCAAAGGCCCGACAAACGCTCAGCATCTCTGAACTCCTTCAAGACTGTTGGAAACCATTTCAGGAGACGACCTCATGAAGCTCGTGGAGAGAAGGCCAAGAGTGAGCGAAGCAGGAATCGAAGCAGAGGGTGGATATAAAACATGTTTGGGTTTACTTCATAATTCCACGTTTTCATTCACAGTTTGATGCCTTCAGTGAGAATTTACAATGTAAACAGTGATGAAAGAAAAACCATTAAATGTGAAGCTGTGTCCAAACCTCTGACTGCTGGTGCTGTAATGGGCCCAGCACTGAGCTGTGGGACACCTTTACTGGGCGATTTATTTGAAGCTGTTGGCAAGCAGAAGCAGCTGGAGTTAGCGAGCTGCTCCCTGCTGAGCTCAGACTGACACTCCCCTCCTCCCACTCAGGTGGAGGTGTTACGAAGTCCATGACATTGTGATCGAGTGCTCCAGAGTGTCCCTGGATCCTCTGGAGTCTTCGTGCGAGGAGGACATTTGCTCCTCCTCCTGCTCTTTGATCACACCTCTCCCCCTGACTCCCCTCCCTCATCTGGACCTCACCTGCAGTCCTCCGGTCACAGACACTGTCAGCAGCTCAGGTGAGTAACAGCAGTGTGAGATCATGTGACCTCCTGTGCAGTTTGTAACAGAGGTCAAAGTGAAACCAGAAGGAAACGGATGTTTTTAATTAAGTGTTTGTGTTTGCTGACAGGAAGCTCAGTCTGTCCTTTGGGATCCAGATGTGTGCCTCAGCTGAACCTGAACACCTGCACGCAGGTAACTCACCTGTCTGTCTAATCTGTGAGCCAGACGAGCAAGCACTGACACTTCCTGTTTGTGTGCAGCCTGACGACGTCACATGGAGCCCCGCCTTACACTGTGGTTTGTCCACACCCCCTTCTGAACGCACTGCTTTAGGCTCCACCCACCCACTGAGCAGGAGCACCTCCATGTCAGGTGACCTCACATATCTGTGTGTGT